TCCGCGGTCATTGTCTCGGGATCTGTTGGGAACTGGAGGTGGTGTGGTGGGTGAGGGTCTAGGGTGAAAGACGTTGATGGTGATCCCGGTGATCTCAGCGTACTGTGCATCAATGACGCTCTTCTCGGTGTGGGAGAAGACGGTGGTGAAGTTGCGACTGGCCCGGCTGGTGTCGTTGAAGTGTGCCTCGATGAGCGCCTTCTGAGTCGTCCATCCTCCTCCCTTCTGCCGCATGTGGCTATGCTGGGAGGTGGACGATGTGACGCGTCCAAATATGGTGAAACCTGTGGCTATTTCTCGTTCGGCAGGGCCTGCTCTGGCTTTTGGAAGGCGGAGGGCTTTGCGGAGGTTGGTGTGGCAAAATCCGAGTTGGAGGTTGTCGGGTGCGTTGTCTTGGTGGAATCCGTTGAACCCACGGTGGGGTAGGTATGCTTTGTTGTAGGGGAGGTTGTCGTCATCCCAATTGGTGGGCTCCCAATTCGTGGGTCTGACGAAGCCCTCGCGCAGGATGTGCCATAGGCCTGCTTCATCGGTAGCGTGTGACCAATATGCCTTGTAGGCGCCCTTGTGCGTGGGAGGTGATGGACTGTTGGCATCGTGTGCGTGAGGTGGAGGCTTGGTGGTGCGTAGTGGTATGACGAGGACCTGTACCAGTGGGTAGTCAGTGGTGTCCTGTTTGTTGCTGTAGGGGTCGACGTGGATGAGCTCCGGGTGGATCACCGTGTCCGTGCTGGGGTGAGTTCTGAACTGGCCGAGGAAGGGCGTGATCTTGTAGTGAGAGCAAGCGAAGGATCTTGCCACTTGGCGGATGGCCATCTGTGCTGGGTTAGAGAGCCAAAGGGGCTGTCCTTGGGTGAGGTTGGCGATGTCGTGCATGATGTCGTTCATGTACCGGACGCCTGTGCTGGAAGGGTCCATGGGCGGCGGTGGGTCTTGTTGGTGGTACATCTCGGACACACACGCGAGCCTGTAGGGGTCCGCCAAGGCGTCTTGGTAGAGCATCTTCATGCGTCGACGTTCTTCAGGTTTGAAGCCTGATTCGGTTTCTGGTCCTGCATTGTGTGAAGTGGCTTCTGAGGGTGCTTGGGGTGGTCGGGATGAGGAAGCAGGTGTGTCTCTGTGGGTCGCCGTGTGTGAAGCAGATCGATGGAGCGCGGGAGTGAGAACGACGGTCGTGCCTCTGCGCCTGGTGCTGCTTGGGGAGGGGCTGCGTTGGGATGGTGTTGGTTGGGATGTCCGGTGATGATGAACTGGAGAAGAGCGCCTTCTCGATGTTCGCGATTCGGCTTCTTCCGAGTGTCGACGTGTGGATCTGGATCTTCTTGGACTGCGTGGCCGTCTGGTTTTGCCTGTCTGGTGGGGGTCGTTGGGTGCGGGGCTGTGGGGTGAATGGGAGATGTGCGTGTGTCGCGTAGATCTGGTGCTCCTGGGGTGGGCTGGGCTGGGCTCATAGGTGGTACGGCTGCGACTTCGGGTGTGGTGTGTGGTAAAGGACTCTGCTCTGTGTTGGTCGCCAGGATGTTGTAGTTGCGTTGGGGCGACTCTGGTATGGGACTGGAGTAGCGGTGCCACGACTTTCTCAATCATGCCTGTGATGCACGTGAACATCTCCGTCATCTGGGATGGTGTCGTCATCGACGTGGTTTGAGAGGGTGGTTCTGGGGCTTGACGAGGTTGTTGATGTTCTCCGTGATGAACAGGTTGGCCTCTTTGATGGTCATCTTGTTGTGTGTCCGAAATCTGGGCGGGCATAGATCGCGGAAGTGCTGGAAGCGGTCTGGACTGCGACAAAGGCTCCTGCCGTGCTGCGTCTCGCTGCGGATCTCGGTGAGCGTATACTTGAGTGGGGTCTTGCTGAGATCTGCGTCCTTGGTCTAGGTGTTGTGTGTCAACTGGAGCATCTTGTTGACGTGGCTGGCCGTGTTCTGCTGGATCTCGATGTGCACAGGCGCCAGGGGTATTTAGTAGGGAGATGGGGTAAGGTCCCTCTCGAACTGGAGGATGGGGCTCTGCTTGCGCGAACACGGGATGATCTGCTCGTTGTGGAACATTCATTTGTTGCTGAAGATGGTGTGCTGGCCGAGGTGTGGCTTGATTCCATTCTGGTCGACCCTGAGGAGGGCTTTGTTGTTGATGATGATGCGCAAGGTCTCGAGGATGGTGGTCTGGTCGTAGATCTTGGCCTTGATGATATTGCGGACCATGCTGAAGATACGGAGGTGGGTCCGGGTTCTGCCAATGACTTGTGGCCTGGGGGTAGGAGTGAGGTTGTGGATGTAGAGGTGCTGGGCGTACTTCCGGGTGATCGCTGCGACCATGTTGTTGAGGACTGGCATGTTGGTGGTGAAGATGGATGTTCTGGTTGGTCATCGGTGAATGTGGGCCCGTCGTTTGACTCGAAGGTGCGTATCCTGCTGCATCACCACGACGATGCGTCGGGGGACCGAACTGCATTTGATCCAAAAACGCGGCTGGTGCTATCCATTGTGGCCGTAGGGATGCTGCATCCTGCTAGGGTGGCCACTGGTATTGAGCGTGTACTCCTCCGGCTGGTGGGTGTTGATTCCATCGACTTTGCCATCCTTGATCGTCTCCTGGGTAATGTGCCGTTGGGTGTGGCGTCTCAGGAGGAGGAGGAGGAGGATGTGCTTGATAGTCTGGTGGAGGACGAGGAGGAGGCGGCTGCCGCTGCCAACTTTGTTGGGACCACTGGTAGCCGTCCATGGTGCGAGTCCGATGTAGCTGGGGTACGAGCTACTCACTACTCTGACCTATGAAACCATTACGGCAAAGATATAGCAAAAAGAATGTTGCTAACCTCTCCGGATGCTGGGTCAGGACTAACAATCGAGGAACATACGGCACGCCGGCCGTCTTGCTGGGCATCGGTGGCACCCACATTAGTGGGCCCGGCATGTTACTAGTGCACGAAAACAATAGTACTTTGCATTCTCACTCGCCAGGTGAGCTCACATTTTTGGATTATCCTATGCGTCCGCACCGAAGTGAAGACTAACATAGGCAGCATGAACGCGTAGGAGCGAGGCTCCACCTACACCCGCGGCCCAAGGCGAGGGCGGGCTGGCTGTATAACACACTTTTTGTTTTAGTGCTTCCACATAAACTGGTAGATGGAGATGCTCCGAAGGTAGAGATGCTCAAGCAAGAGGTAGTAGAGGAGCCCGAAAGTGATGAGGTAGAAGGGTCGCGAATGAAGGTTTATATGAAATATGCTATAAGGTACTTGAAATGCTCCTGCAACTGTGCTCATCACGCTCAGATGCTCTGCAAGTCATGCTCTGATGCTCCACCACTCATGCTCAAACAAGCTTGCTCACCACGCTCAGAAGCTCTACAATTCATGCTCTGATGCTCCACAAGTCATGCTCGCACAACTCTGCTCAGCACGTTCAGATGCTCCACGATTCATGGTCTGATGCTACACACTTCATGCTCCCGCAACTCTGCTCATCGCGCTCCGATGCTGCACAGTGCATGCTCATATGCTCTAACACTCATGTTCCGAACCTTCTCCATGCTTTCGTCCATCATCATGCTCGACATGTTCCATCACCATGCTAAAATGACATGCTCACGCAATTCTGCTCAGCTGCTATTCACAACACACAAGCTGAAAGCATCACGATCCACTCAAGCTTGATGGGCTCGAGGTCTTCTGGGGTTTGGGGTATGTCATGCTCACGGCATCGAGAATTCACCCATGCTCAAATACCAAATGCCCAAAATGAAAATCTCGTTCTTGAAGGACTGGTTGAAGCAACAGCAATGATGCACCATACACAGCTTGCGTTACAGGACGTCTATAACCATCACTGCAGGTACGTGGAGATGGCGTCCCATCTCCATATCACTGTGCACTGAGAGCGTCTTCGTTGGCAGGAGACTCTCAGGCACACTCCTGCCCCCTGCTGAATATCATGTGCAAAAACTTGTTAGATCGCAAATTCGTGCTTCTTTTCACTCTCGTATGCAGTGCTTGTTGACGTTCCCGCATGTACAGCGTTGTGCCACACACACACACACACACACACACACACACACACACACACACACACACACACACACACACACACACACACACACACACACACACACACACACACACACACACACACACACACACACACACACACACACACACACACACACACACACACACACACACACACACACACACACACACACACACACACACACACACACACACACACACACACACACACACACACACACACACCACACACACACACACACACACACACACACACACACACACACACACACACACACACACACACACACACACACACACACACACACACACACACACACACACACACACACACACACACACACACACACACACACACACACACACAACACACACACACACAACACACACACACACAACACACACACACACACACACACACACACACACACACACACACACACACACACACACACACACACACACACCACACACACACCACACACACACACCCACACACACACACACACACACACACACACACACACACACACACACACACACACACACACACACACACACACACAACACACACACACACACACACACACACACACACACACACACACACACACACACACACACACACACACACACACACACACACACACACACACACACACACACACACACACACACACACACACACACACACACACACACACAGCACACACACACACACACACACACACACACACCACACACACACACACACAACAAACAACACACCACACACACACACACACACACACACACACACACACACACACACACACACACACACACACACACACACACACACACACACACACACACACACACACAGAGACACAGACACAGACACAGACACAGACACAGGCACAGACAGGAGAGAGAGACAGACACACACGCACAAGCACACTCTCACTCTCACTCTCACTCATGTGTCCTCCGCCACCTTGGGTGGCGGTGGAGTCTCCACGGCCTGACAACGGCGTTCTACCACTCCGACTACCACTACCAGCCCGGACACCACCACTTGAAAGAGCCTCCGAAAGTCGGCGCCGCGCCATCAGGGCGGCGCCGAAGGTGGTGCGGAGAGCCTCGGGCACGCGTCGAGGTAGTCGATGATTCAGGAATCGGGTTTTGGCGAGCCCAAAAATCCCACGCCCCGTGCACACCCGGACGTACAAACCTCTGGGCCTCTGGGCACTGAAATTGCGCAAACGTAAGTTGCAATACCCTCGACCCTAAACCATAGAACCCTTTGTCCTTTAACACTACCACCGCAAACTAAACCCCCAGATTCCGTAGATCCCGAGCCCCAATGCCCGGTGCATCCCAGACCCAAAACAAATGTCAAAAGCCTGCGCCGCCTTCAGCTTGTTTAGGTCCCTGGGCCGGGGCCCGGGCCATTACGGGCTCCTGGCACTCGAATTCTGCCTCCTCCCAGTCCCTATCCATCCTCGCGGCTTTCGCGTGCACACTACACGAAACGAACCCCACCTCCCTCTTTTGCTTCTCTTGGTATTCAGAACTCCGCCAAACCTTGCTATCGCGTAACCTCGCCCCAAAACCCAAAACCCCAAACCCAGTACGCCTGGAAACCCTCCGAAAGGGCCGCATCGTGCTTCCCTTGCGCTACCGTGGCACTTTTTCAGATAGACGCTCCCTGATCTTATGAACAACTCGAGCTCTGAAACCGCTTCAGCTCCTGGAGCTGATGAAAAGGTTTACGGCCCAGGACTTCCCTAGGGTTTAGGGTCTAAGAAGGCCACTGTGACTTGGGACTCGCGAGAAAACAATCACATGCGTAAACCCTTGGCCGCGGAGCCACTTCAGCACAAGGTCGTCTATCCCCTGCGCTTCAACTTCCTAGCTGCCAAAAGGGATTCAGGAGCAGCAATTTTAGGGTTTAGGGTTTAGGGTTTAGGAATGTGCAAGGCCAAACTTGTGCCCAGCCGCTGGCTGTCAAATATGCAGAGCAGGAGCTCGTCGGCCATGTGTCTGGCGGGACATGCTCAAATATTATCTGTCGCGCATGCAAAGCTGCTAAGCTTAGGACCTTGCGTCATCGTGCATCGCCGCCTTCTAACTATGATCCTTCTGCTCACGGGCTTTGGGCCCCCGACAGCGTTGCCGTCTTGCGGCTCAAGGCCTGCAGGGTCGGAGCCACTGTTTCAAAGCTTGCAATTAATCGACAAGTCGGAAAGTTTGCGCATCAGGGGGGCACAGAGAGGGCCGGGATCTTCCGCAAGCTGAATGCACGCCAGAAGCCGCATTACATAGTGCGAGCTTTAGTTTTTGTTTGCCAGAACTTCAACTTTGAACCTCCTATTATCCAGCCGTGAACCCCGCCATAAATCCGTGTAAGAAAAGACCTTATCGCTGCAGTTGTAAAGCTTGTCATTGTGCAGAAAACTGTGTCGTGGTAAGAACGTACTGTCCCGCCATAAATGCAGGGGTTTATAAGTTTAGGGATTAGGGTTTCAAGGTCCCAGCGATTCGAGCTTAGGGCTTGAGCAGGGCTTTAGGAGGGTTTCGGATGGAGGTTCCTTAAAGGTTGAGTGCTTTAGGCTGAGGGCTTTAACCCCTAAACTTACAAGCCCTATACACAAAACCCCAATCCCGCAACCCACAAACCACTCCAAGGGGGAAGAGGGATACCATGGGGGAGGAGGAGGGCGCACGACCATCCAGATATCCGCATGTCCATATTATCCATATATATATATGGTACCCCCCCCCCCCCCCAAAGATCTAGGTATTTTCCTGGTTTTGGGATCTGTTTTAGGGTTTTAGGGTTGGGGGTGGGGGGCTAGCTAAACATGGAAATCTCAATATGGACATGTAAATCTTGATATGTGCGAGTCTTCATATGTGCGTGGTCGTATTTTCAAATTGTGAGCCCGATTGAAAACGATTGAAACGATTGAAATTCAATCGGGGGCCCGATTGAACAACGATTGAAACGATTGAAATTCAATCGGAGACCGGATTGAAGATTGAAGATTGAAGATTCCCGGAAAGCTTTTTTCTGGGAATCTTCAATCTTCAATCTTCCATCCGGCCCCCGATTGAATTTCAATCGTTTCAATCGTTTTTCAATCGGGCCCCCGATTGAATTTCAATCGTTTCAATCGTTTTTCAATCGGGTTCACGTCTTGTAAAGTGTCAGAATTAGCTTTCGTGACGTCGCTCAAGATCACGTGTCTTCGCAGACATTCCACTCGAAATATACTTGACCATTTGTGTTTGTAATACTCGCAATGGCTCGCATCCCAGTGGCTGGCTCAGTCTTATGGTTTTTATTGGTTTTTGCGGTGTTTCGGGAGCGTGGGTCCCACGCTAAAAATCGGTTTTACCGATGTTTTTGAAAGCCTACCTTCAAAATAACATCGGTAAAACCAATGTTTTTGAAAGCCTACCTTCAAAAAACATAGGTAAAACCAATGTTATTGAAGGCCTACCTCTAAAAAACATCAGTAAAACCGATGTTTCGTGAGCCCATGCTCCCAAAACATCGCAAAAAAAAACAATTAAAAAAAACATGTCAAAAACCATGATTTTCGAAACTAGTGGCTGGGGTGGCCGGCCGAGTAGTTTCAGAAACCATAGTTTTTATGTTTCTTATTGGTTTTTGCGGTGTTTCGGGATCGTGGGCTAAACCTTTAAGCCCTGTAGGCTATACGGTTAAGGTTTAAAGGTTTAGGGTTGAAAAGTTCAACAGTCAGCCCATAGAGTTTAAACCTTAAGGGTCCTAAACGCTTAACCTTTAAACCCTATAGGCCATAGGGTTAAGGTTGAAAGGCTTAGGGTTTAAGATTTTGGCATTAAAACACAAGCCCATAGAGCTTAAGCCTTAAGGGTTTAAGGTTTCAGCATTGAAACGATAACCCTAAGCCCTTTAGGGTCAGAACCTTGAAGCCCTGTAGGGCTCTAAAACGTTAACAGGGTTTAACCCTATAGGCGTTGAATGTATAAATGCCCAGACATTACACTCTCTTTAACCTTTCAGCCCTATAGGGTCTAAAGGCTTAGGGTATTTCTTAAGCCCTGAGGGTTTAAAACCTTAAGCCCTCAAGGTGGGCTCCTAAACCTTTAAACCTTAACCCTATAGCCTATAGGGTTTAAAGGTTAAGCGTTTAGGCCCCTTGGGGTCTGAACTCTATAGACTTACTTTTAAAACCAAAACCCTTCAACGTTGACCCTATAGCCTATAGGGTCTAAAGGTTAAGCGTTTAGGCCCCTTAAGGCTTTAACTCTATGGGCCTGCTATTGAACTTAAACCCTAAACCATTAAACCTTAGCCCTAATTATAGCCTATCGGGCTTAAAGGTTAAGTGTTTAGGCCCTGTACGCTAAGATTTACACTCGATGGGCTTAGGTTTTGTAAAAGCTGAACAGTCGGAGTGGCACTCATGATCATCCGCAGACTTGTGGGCACGAAGCGCCCAGTGAAGCTTTCAGAGGCATAGAGAAAAAGCAGAGTGATCCTTCGGTGCTCGCCATAGCATTGATCCATTCTATCATTCTGCTCCCCATACGGGATATCTTTCGATTCTTTATTCTTTCCAGAACATCCCATCATCTGGTTTATTGGCCCTTATCGACCACCAGTGCAGGAAGCAGGACAAGGCTCGCTTCTGCACTGGTAGCGGAGCCAAGTACGGCCAGGACCTTTTTGGGTGCCCGACAGCAGACGTTTGATATGTCAGAGCTAGGTGTGAATCCCAAGCTGCCGACATGGGACGGCGACTGGCGGACATTCATGGACTATCGCTTGGCATGCTATCTGGAGTATGATGGCCTGAAAAAGGATGAACAGGTGACGTTGGCGCCGCGACTGACAAGGAACCTGACCGGCAAGGCCTGGGAAGCATGCAGCAGCATCGACAGAGAGAAACTACGCCAGGAAGGAGGCCTCGACTACTTGTTGTCCTTCCTGAAGGAAAAGCGCGGCAAACAACAGGTCGACATCCTGGGCGAAGCCTTTGAGAAGTACTTCCAGTCGTCCGATGTGTTGCGGCGAGACAAAGAGAGTCTCAACGATTACGAGCAGCGACTATCCATCTACACTCGAGACATTGACCGTGCCTTGGCTGAGCTCAGTGGATCCGAAGGTATCAAGGTACCAACGGAGATCTATGGGTGGTTCCTTCTCAACAAGCACCTGCGACTGGAGCCATCAGACGTCGCCACTTTGAAGTCGCAGACTGCCAGCTATAAGCTAGCCGATGTCCAGACCGCATTGAGAAAGATGTGGGGAGGAGATAGCCTAGTGATCAAGGATCAGGAGCGCAAGAGACTGGGCAAAGCCTACCTCAACATCTCCGAGGAGTACGATGCAGAGGACGAGACGCAGCAATCAGATGGTGGTGTCTGGTGGAATGATGATCTTCCAGAGCATCAGGAGAATCCCGATGAAGAGCGCAGCGAAGTGGAAATTTGGTTTGAGGAGGCTCTTGCAGCCTTTCAAGACCAACCCGAAGACGAGGTCATCCTTGCGAACTTTCAGGAGGCGAAGAAGGCCTTTATTACAAGGACGCCAGGAAGGCCCTCGACCAGAGCCGAGTGAATCGGGGCTTTTATCCACAAGGCAAAGGAAAAGGGAAGCACAGCAGCCAGAAGCCAGAGCGCACCAAGGGAGAAGGACGCAGTGGCGAGTTTAAGGGCCGCTGCATGCGATGCGGCAAGTTTGGACACAAGGCTCAGTTCTGTCCCCAGCAGGGACAGCGCGCCAAAGCTACTGGGAAGGGCAGTGGCGTTGGCTTCGTGTACACAAACTGGGCTGAGGTGACGAACGCCGAGTGCACAGAGAACGTGGAGAACCCGATCTACCACCAGCAACAGGCAGAGAACATGAAGGCCATCATGGACTGCGGAGCCTCGGAGTCCATCGTAGGTGCCTGGACACTGCAAAAGCTGAGTGAAGAGCTTGAGAACCTAGGGTTCAATCCCGAGGAAGAGATCTCCTTGGACACTAGTCTGCGCAAGAGTTTCATCTTCGGCAACAATGAGACAAGTTTAGCCCTCGGAGAAGCTAGCGTCAACACCGGCATCCATGGCGTGGAGCAGGAGACACGAGTCCATGTGGTGGAGGGGCAAACTCCCTTGCTCCTATCCAGCAAGTGGTTGTACGAGCAGGCAGCCATCATCGACTTCAGGACGGGACAAGCAATCCTGCCAAAGATCAGCCACGAGGTGATCCAGCTGGAACGTGCATCCACATACCACTTGTTGCTTCCAGTGACCGCGTATCAGGGTCATGATGCGGCAAGGGCGTTGACGAATGTCTCAGATGAGAAGGAAGAGAGCGTGCTCCTGCGGGCCTGTGCCCAAGTGCTCAAGCCCTCAGCGCCTCTGAAAGTTTCACTGCAGGAGTAGGGACAGCACCACCGAGAGGAAACGCTGGAAGTTCTCTCGAGTGGACCCGAGGCCAGTGATACTGGCCAGGTTCCAGCTCCAGTTTTGTGCTGCCAGGAGTCATGTTCAGGATCAAGCGAAGCCTGTGATAGGGAGTTAACTAGTGAGATGAAACACTGGTTCCACCGACAAGCTCAAAACATAGAAGAAGAAACTGTGGAAGCCCTTTGTGGGCTTGCGACTGAGAGGCTGGATTTGTTGGAGGTTTGTGCTCCCTGGGACTCCCCTTTAAGTAACGCTGTTGAAAGGGCTGGCGGGAAAGCGTACCGTATCGGGTTGCATAACGGGTTTGATTTGGCAACCAAGGCCGGGTTCACCAAGGCACTTGCTCTACTTCGAAGACACCGACCCCGATATCTTCACGTATCCCCGCCATGTGACCCGTGGACATCGCTTACAAATGCCCAGCAACGAACCCCTCAACAAACTCAGAACCTCCAACGAAAACGAGAACATGGGCGCTTGATCCTGAAAAATTGTTTAAAGCTACTTCAGGTGCAGCGACAGGAACTTAATGGGCAGTCGAGTGTGGGAGACTGTCAGGGAGGACATGGAGGAGGTGAACAGCCACTGCGCGCAGCATCATGGCATGAACCCACGGTACGTAAAATGGTGCAGATATGTGGGGGCACTCGGTTTAGGTGTGATGGTTGTAGGTTCAACCTCAGGTCCCCCCGGACTGGCGTGCCGATTCAAAAACCCTGGGGATGGTTCAGTAGCATGCCTGCCATG